GTATATTGTTAGCAAAAATTTAAAAATAAGGAACATTGTGCTATGTCAATATGTGAAGATATTTTTTATAATGTTAGCAAAAATAAAAAATAAGGCTAATAATGTAAGATCTAATCTATAACCATTTTTGTTCATTTTCCTTTTGAGTTATAGTGCTTGATTAATTCTACTCTTATGATGCACCAAAATGATGATGACATTTTCCTTGTTTGTTCTGAATGAGTTAATGTGGCTCTGAGTACTTTCAGCCTTTTGATCATTATAATGCACAAATGAGAGAAAACATTGTAACACAATAAGTCTCTTGTCTAATCCCATGTTTTCCATTGTTCACTAGGATTTTATCATTCATGCAGTGTTGTTGTCTGAAAGTAAGTAAGCTCTTCATCTGTAATCTTTTATAACTCATATTCCTTTTAAATTCTTATTTCAGTGGATACCCACTATTGCGTGATCCCCATTACAACAAAGGCCTTGCTTTTAATGAGAAAGAAAGGGATGCTCACTTTTTGCGCGGTCTTCTTCCTCCCGTTGTGGTTAGCCAAGAACTGCAGGTTACCACTAATAGACCCCTCTTTCAAAAAATTTCTGATATAATATTCTTGTTCCGTTTTATGACTTTGGTTCTGTTTGCATGTGTTTGCGTGATTTTACCGAGCAGGTTAAGAAAATGATGCACAACATGCGCCAATACCAAGTTCCTCTACAGAGGTACATGGCCATGATGGACCTTCAGGTGAATCATTTAATCACTCTATATAGTAAATATGAAAATCACCCTTGAGGCTTTTCATTTCTTGTCAAGTTTCTTTTTAAAGTATTTGGATTGCAATTTGTAAAATGGTTTTGCTAGAGCTATGGATGTTTAATTACCTTTGAAAATCACATGAATTGACAATTTTAAGCTCATTTGCAGGAGAGAAATGAGCGATTATTTTACAAGCTTCTGATCGAAAATGTTGAGGAACTACTCCCAGTTGTCTACACTCCAACTGTGGGTGAAGCTTGCCAGAAATATGGAAGCATTTTCAGGCAGCCACAGGGCCTCTTTATCAGCCTAAAAGAAAAGTATATTTTCTTCCCAATTTCAGTATTAACGTTATCTCGATTTAATTACTGCAGTTTTTTTAGCTTTTCCACTGTTTGAACTGATTATGGGTAGCATTTTGCAGGGGAAGAATACTTGAGGTACTGAAAAATTGGCCCCAGAAAAAGATTCAAGTTATTGTGGTGACAGACGGAGAAAGGATATTGGGGCTTGGTGACCTGGGATGTCAGGTAAATCAGTCACCTATTTATTTGTTAAAATCATATTTCAGGAAAAAAAAAAATCCTTTTGTTAATCTGTTATGTCCTGTTCTCTAAATTATCTAATGGTTACACTTTTGTTAATCTGAATAGGGAATGGGAATTCCCGTAGGAAAGTTATCCTTGTATACAGCTCTTGGTGGCATTCGCCCTTCTGCTGTAAGTATTTTCGAACACAGGTTTTATCTAATGGTTACTCTCTCCTTTTAAAACTAATAAAAAAAACTAATACCAATAATTTCCTATTTTATCTACTTTTGGTTGGTACCAGTGCTTGCCGGTGACTATTGATGTGGGTACCAACAATGAGCAGTTGTTAAATGATGAATTTTACATTGGGCTCAGAAGAAGGAGAGCAACGGGGCAGGTTAATGTCTTTTACTTGGAAGAAAAAAATATTATTCGAAATAATAAGCATTTAAAGGCAAGGCTACTATATTTTCGTTCTAGTATTCAATCTGGATTGATTTTTTTTTTTTCTTTTAATCAGGAGTATGCTGAGCTTTTGGATGAGTTTATGTCTGCAGTTAAGCAGAATTATGGAGAAAAAGTCCTTGTTCAAGTTAGTAATATATTTTTTTTTTGGACAGTTGAGTTTTTATTGGTTCTGTAAATTTGATTTTTTTCCATAACTTGAAAATTGTGCAGTTTGAAGACTTTGCAAATCACAATGCTTTTGACCTTCTAGCAAAGTATGGATCTACTCATCTTGTTTTCAATGACGATATTCAGGTAAACACTATATATGGATAAGCATATCTTCACATGCCTACTGGGTTACTTCCGAAACTACCCGAGTTACATAAAGAAAATACATGTTCGATTATCTTTCAAATATAAAAAAAAAAAGTGGTGATTTGACATTTCTTTTTTCCTTTGCAACCAGGGTACAGCATCTGTAGTCCTTGCTGGGCTTGTGGCTTCACTTAAATTAGTAGGTGGTACCTTGGCAGATCACTCGTTTTTGTTCCTTGGAGCTGGAGAGGTATTTCTTTAACTAAATTGTTCCTAATGTTGACTTTTGAATCTCATGAAGTTGATATGGATATATATATAAGGATTCATTTTGCCACTTATGCTCTGTCACTGTGTATCCACACGCATAGTATTCTTCTTCTTGGACTTCCCTTTTGCCGCGTCTTTGTTTTTGGTTTGCTGAGAGAGATATCGAACGTTTCTTCTTATTATTTTATAAATAAATGCAGGCTGGAACTGGTATTGCGGAGCTTATAGCTCTTGAGATATCCAAACAGGTAAAAAAAAAAAAAAAAAAAAAAATGACGATCGTTTCTAATTATGATAATATGTCAACTTCTCCTTTAGGTAAAGTCAAATTGCAGAGGACAAAAAATTAAAATCAATATTTATAATTAATCCTCTTCATTTGCAGACTGGTGCCCCAGTGGAAGAGGCTCGAAAAAAGATATGGCTTGTGGACTCAAAGGTATTTAACTTAACGTCCCACTCAATGCTTTTTTCCCCCCAATTCCAGATGCTGAATACTCGAGCATTTTCTTTGTAGGGACTTATTGTCCGGTCCCGTATGGATAGGCTTCAACATTTTAAGAGGCCCTGGGCCCACGAACACGAACCAGTAGAGAATTTGTTAGACGCTGTCAAGGTACAATGATTTCTTTATGATTTATTCTTTTCTTGTGAAAATCTTGTATTTTTTGTTTTGAGTTACAATGCGCGTTTTTAACGATTTATTGTTTCTCAAATGCATTGGTTATCACTTATCACAGACCATTAAGCCAACAGTACTCATAGGATCATCAGGAGCAGGAAGAACTTTTACTAAAGAAGTGGTCCAGGCCATGTCATCTTTTAATGAGGTATAATAAAGGCTTTAGCATAAATCAACAATATTTACGAGTTAAAAAAAATAAAATTTGATTCCCTTAATTATCAATCTTGTAAACTGACTATTATTTTGTGGCAGAAACCTGTTATTCTTGCCCTCTCAAACCCAACCTCACAATCCGAGTGTACTGCTGAGGAAGCCTACCAATGGAGTGAGGTAATTTTATGGCGCTTTTAATCCATAAAAGTAAATAACTTCTTATATTCATTTAGACTTATTTCTGCTGTTTCGTTTTGAAATTCAGGGCCGAGCCATATTTGCTAGTGGGAGCCCGTTTAGTCCAGTTGAATATGATGGGAAATTTTATGCATCTGGCCAGGTATAGGCGCTAATAAGTGCTAATTAACCAATCAGAATTCATTTAATATGGCACTAGGCATTTCGCTGACATCATCGATGTATGTACTTTCGTGGTTTTGCAGGCAAATAATGCTTACATCTTCCCTGGACTTGGTCTCGGGTTGATTATTTCTGGTGCAATCCGAGTACACGATGACATGCTTTTGGCTGCCTGTGAGTTTATGATTATTATTACTATTATGAACTCAAAAATAAAAGCAACTTGTCAAAATTACAGATTTTACCTTGAGACTTCTTTTATAATTAACATATGTCGAGGGGTATTTGAAACATTTTAGATATCCGCTGGGTTTTTTTCTGTTACTTTGCTGAACTTGAATTGCAAATTTCAATTTATGCTTTCTGATATAGTTACATTATTGTTTGTCTCGTTTTCGCAAAACAGCCGAGGCATTAGCTTCTCAGGTTACGGAAGAGTACCTTCGAAAAGGGCTGATATATCCGCCATTCGCTAACATCCGGAAGATTTCAGCTCAGATTGCCGCTAAAGTAGCAGCCAAAGCATACGAACTAGGTAAATTAATCACAGAATCACCCCAGAAATTATCTTTATTACTGAAAAGGTCCAAGTATCTCCCAAAATGTTACATATATTTGTTCATTTTGATTCGATGCCTAAATATTTCATGTGTTTATCGTGTCACAGGCTTAGCCACACGCCTGCCTCCTCCGGAAAACCTAGTAAAATACGCGGAAAGCTGTATGTACAGCCCCAACTACCGTAACTACCGATAAACCGTTTGAAAAGGAGAAGCAACTATTTAATGACGTCGTATCTCTTGATTATTTGCCGATTTTATTTTATTTTATTTATACATTTTATTTGTTGTTTGAATTCTCTATTCTCTTGCTTAGACTTCTGTTTTTTTTGGTTCATTTAATATGCAGACCATAGGCATATAGGTGATGTGATCAAGTGTAATTTGTAGAATGTTGAATCTTATTTATTAGAGTCAACTCTTAGAAACAAGAAAATGGTATTCTTACAAAATAAATTTTGGCTTGGAGTGAATTATTTAACCTAAACTAAGTATTTTGCATGCTTCACTTTTTCTTTCTATGTTAAGGTTAAAAGGTATCATCAAATCATTGATATTTCAAGCCCATGGAATCTTATCATGAGACTTAATTTTAATGTCATTCATAAGAGCCTCCTTTCTGCAAATATTATTGAATCTCATCAACTGCAAAATTCTTTTCCAAGTCAACTGTTTTTCAAATTGAGTGCAACTTTGAAGGAAAATTAATAAAACAAAATTGACTCTCACATAAAATAAACCATCATCGACACATTTATTTATTTATTTATTTTTTCTGAAGACGATAAATTATATTATAAATCAAAATGTACATTTATTATTTGCTCTCTCTCTCCATCGTTGACTTAGTCAACGCTTATAACCTATACACAACCAAAAAAAAAAAAAAATCAAAATTCAACTCAAAATGACTATCTATGATTTCCCTTTAGTCTCCACACTATATACATGGCACATGATGAAGAACTGTGAAAAAGGGGAAGTATGCATGTAAAGCTGTACGAACCCGAGACATTGTACAAAAGCCGATAGTTTCCTACGGATTTTCGGCTACACTCAGAGAGAAAGTCAAAGCCTCATTCTGCAAAATGCCGGTCTCCCCTAAAGTCAACTGAGACATGCCCAAGAGCTCCTTCATGGGTTCTTGCACAGCCGGCACATTCGTAATAATCTGATGATGTTGAGATTTTCGTGCTTTGTTGTCTTCAAGAGAATGGTCAAGAGACGTGAAAGCCGGCTTTAGAGAAAGGTCGAGAGACGATATTGCCCCTTGAGATGACGAGGATGATGATGATGATGTCAGCATGAGCTTTTCGCTTTCATTGGCGGTAACTGCCTGTGGAGATGGGATGCTGAGCTGTCGCGTGTTTGACGTTGGACTCGTTTCCTGATATTAGAGAAAAAAAAAACGTAAATAATTCTTGACACGGTCATAATTCGTGTTCGAACTCAAAATGCAAAAGAAATTAGGAAATTGTCTCGGTTTTTAGCTATTTCCTACATGCAAAGAAAAAAAAAAAAAAAAAAAAGCAAAAGCCAAAGCAGAGTAGTATACAGCACCATGTCAAAAAGGCTGGACCGTTTTCTTCTCCTAGTGGCATTATTAGTCTGCCTAATGAAGTGCTTTTGTGCATGGCTAGCCACCTGAGTTGGAGTCCTCGAACGAACATAACCTTTCGAAATTCCACGCCAATTACCTTTTCCTAACTGCTGCAGACCTAACAGGAATTGCCTGTGTTCTTCCTCTGTCCATGGTATTCCTGCTTATGAAAAAAACATTAAAAAAAAAAAAAAAAAGAACACGCGTAATTAAGGTTTTTTTACAGCACAATGTAGAAATAAGGCAAAAGGGTAATAAGTAGTAACAGAATCTAATTCATTGTTTGTGTCATTTAGTTTGAATGATTTGAAGGTGCACATTCATCATCTTGAAGACAAAATCTACGGAATTACAATACTTTATCGTTTACAAGATGATGTGCGAAAAATGCGTAAAATGCTTACGCTTACGTAGATTACCTATCGATGAATTGTGATAGGCTGCTCATTCAAGGGATTACATGAATGGAATAAAGATGGTTCCAATAATAACATAACGTTAGCAGAGGAAAAATAATTACTTTCAATCATAAGAAGAGAAGAAATAAGAAGACTGCAAATTCTTTGATCAAAGCTCAAACACAGCTCACTAGAACAAACATAAAAGAAAAGGTAAATACCTTGCAATTAACCAATCCACAAATATATTAAACCATGTAACTATATCAATCTCAAAAGGTCCCCCATCACCAATCAACCAAAAAGTAACTTAATTAATTGATTACTAAATTAATTAATTAATTAATATACTGGCAATATACTATAGATGAATATACACAGCAAAACAATCAGAAAAAATAAAAAAAAATATATATATAAAAGAACCACCCAAACAAAAAAATCATGACTTGTTCGCTTAATAACAAGAAATTAAACTCAATTAATCAAAACATGCAACACACAAATAATGCTTCACAAATTAAACCCTGTCAAAATTGGGTCACGCAATAGCACAAAAGAAAGGGAAATAAGATTGGACCTCTCTTCCTGATGGGCGGCAGCCGGAGAGCGGCGGTGGCGCCTCCGCGGTCGGGATCGTCAGAGTGGTACCCACCGGCGGGCTCCGGCGCGGCGGAGGAATGCGAGAGGTTGCCCATGCTCGCGCTCTTCTTTATGAACGATCCATCCGTCAGCCTCACGCCGAACAGCCTCAGCCCCCCGCCTCCACCGCCGCAGGTGGGCGTGTTGTGGTGGCCGTTGGCGTTGCAATGCGAGCGCCGCGTCATTTTTGGTTTGTATTATAGATATATTATAGATACATTAAGATGAATGTGTGTGTGTGTGTGAGGTTGCATGTGAAAAGAGAGTTGTCAAATTTGGGGCTCTACATTTATGGTAACATTTGGGTAAAAATAGTTTAATAGGATAAGGATTAAGGAAATGTTTTTACGCGGTTTGTCTATTTGTTTCACTCGCTTGTGCTTTTAAGGACTTTTTTACCCCTGTTTTGGATTACCTTAACTGAGGGAATGTTCGAATTTATCTACGGACAATAATAGTTTACGAGGTTTTAGCCATTTAATCACACAATTATATGTACATCCTTACGTAAAATAATTATATACTACTAGCATTCATCCTCTGCACATGCACAAAAAAATAAAAAAAATAAAAAATAAAAAAAAATAAAAATAAAAATCCATAAAAAGTAAAAAATTATATATTATATGTATGCATACGATATATGAAATTTTATATATTAGATAATTGATGTATTACATTTAAATTTTGATTATATGCAAAATTGTAATGTAAACATAATTTATTTAACTTATGTATGAATATTTATATTGATGCCATAAATTTTAATGGACAATATAATTTAGTAATCTAGGAGGACCATACATTTAATTAGTTAGAAAAGTATTGCAATTATATTTATCATTGTTATAACAATTGTCTAAATAATTTTAAGGTGTTTAATTATGACACTCATGTCAATTAATTAATATTACATAAAAATCGCTTAAAAAGACAAAAAAAATATTTTATTTGAGAAAAAAGTATTTTAAAGAAAAAATTACAATACAATTTTTATAAGTATGTAACTTCAACATACTATTTAATGTAAAATTATAATCAGTTAGTGTTAGTAGTAATATTATGTAATAAGTTAGTTTAAAATTGTTATTACACTTTATTAATGTAAAATGTAACGTTTCTATATTAATTGAAAAAATGAACGGGAAAATTATGAAGGTTTTATTAAATAGATTTTATTTAATGCATCTGCCAGCAATTATATATATATAGATATATATATTGATCAATAAGTGTCGGAGTTCAAATGTACATAGTACGTTTTAATCCCATGCTTCGAAACGTCCTCCTAAATTAATCACACACGTTCACCAAAGTCCCAATCTTATTTTTTATGGCTATACAAAAAAACAAATAATTAAATTGTTAACATTTTCAATATCAGGTTTTATCAAGATTTTTGCAAGATTCATTTTCCTATTAAACGGGCTTTAGTAGGTAATAAACTTTGGTCGGTTGTCAAACTTGACGGAAAAAGCAACAAAATTATACGGGTTTTTTTTTTTTAATTATATGAGGTGTTTCATTAACACCCGTATAATCAATTATAATGGTGTTAATGACCATTTTATGTTTCTCGAATTATTAGGATATTTAAGAGTTTGATAAATGTTATTTAAATTAATTTTAAATCATAATTCATACTAATTGTTAGTACCTAATTAAAATATTGGGACATGTACAGTAATTAACAATAATCTCACGTAGTTGAATGCTCCTATTTGATAAGAAATATTATGTTAATTATGGCATTGTATATAAATTATTTATTTGTCCAGGCCATCGGTTTTCAAAATGCTCTAAAGGTGGATTCGGTTGCTTTGATTGAGCTTGATATCATTTGAGTTGGTATTATCCGATGACCACCCTTTTATATAAGGGTGTTTTGGTCAAATTCCAAAAAAGCATTTTAAGTGGGATACCATCGTCGGATATGGACTTCAGGAAGTTTGCAGTTGGAATGTGACTTGTTTGGCACGAAAACAATTGTCTTTGTCAGAATTTACAAGAAAAGAATCTAGTAGAATATTAGGAATTTGGGCTATTTTGGTTGAATGAGTTTGACTACGTTCAATCAGTCTTGCTTGATAATGGCTTGAAACCAGGCCGAGACTTGCTTTCTTGTTGGCGAAGAAGGGGAACGTGTAAAAACAGTTTACTCTTTCGTGTGATGCAACAGTCCGAGATACACATATTGGTCTTGGGGGTTAAATTCAGGATTCAGATGGTATTTGTCAGGCCGCTTTTACTAGTGTATCAATGACTCATTTTCTCCTCTATTAGCGGAAGTTTTGGTTATTCGATATGATTTACGATGTGCCTGAGATTCTGACTTCAAACTTCAAACGGTTTTGACGGATTCTTTAGGTGTCATTGGAGGGCTCATTCAAATGGAAGATTGCAACCCTCTATTTGAAGTATTTTCTAATATGAGAGAACTTTTATTTACTCTGGAGTGCAGTATGTGTAAACAAATTCCCCGAATGAAGAATCAAATTGCATATAAATTGGCGAAATGAGCGACAATGTCTCTGTCTTCTTGCTTTTGGAAGGATTGCCTCTTCATTATATTCTTCTCTTTCTTTAGGGATGTATTAAACTCTTAATTAGTTGCTTTAATGCATATTTATTTATATATAAAAAAAATTAATTACTAGTATTAATCTTGTGAACATGCACATAGTATTAAAAATAATGTTTATGTCTTAATTAAAACAAAATTTTATTTAATAGTATGGATCACACTTAAAATTAAATTATACATTCTAAACTCTTATATAGTTGGATTTTTATAATTCGATAAGAAAGACAATGCAAATGTAGAATTTAACATATATCAATGACTATTATTATATAAATATGAAGAATAATCTAATTTTATATGCTTTAGATATTGTATTAATAATAAACATAAAAATATGAAAAACGCTATTTGTTCGACCTGGACTTCTCGTAGTTCTATGGCCTGACCTAGGTCGATTCCTCGTTGTTCACTCTTGCGACATTTCTCTTACATGAGATGGGGTCCACTTGATTTTTTATTTTTAGTGGGTCCCACTCAATGTGAGTGTTATGTACATCCCAATATACAATATTATGTACCTATAATATTTCTCTAAAAGTATTGTCAAAGTAAAAAATGTAAATTAAAATGGACAACATAAATCTTATATACCACATAATTTTTTTTTTTCACAGAATTACAACAACAACAACAACAAAGTCTTTTAGTCCCAAACAAGTTGGGGTAGGCTAGAGATGAAACCCAAT